GAAAATAATTGTCACACATTCTCTGTAATTTTCCCTTAATAACCAAACTGCTATTGCCTAAGAGAGTTTTCTTTTTAATGAATATTTAATTTGGTGACTTGCATTAAAAACAGCTATCGCCTTATAGAAAGGAGAATTTAATCACTGTAATACATAAACAGGAACACCTTTATACTCTTTAGGATTATTAAATTTTATTATAGGATGCTTTCCTCCTTTCTGCTAAAGAATTGAAAACACCAGGACAGTGCTCTTGCAATATTTCTTGAACCCAGCTCTCACATTTCTTGAACCCAGCCCTCTGTGTGACATGCATATCACTTAGAGATCAAGAGCAGAAATAAGCTCCATTTGTATACTTTATAGAGTAACTGTGGAAGGTATTTAGCAATTCCACTATACAAGCCCTAAACAACTTCACATAATTTTTGAATCCAGGGGGTTCTGTTTGTTTCTTTTCTTTCTAGAACTCATTGTGGCTGTTCTCTCTCTGACTGATTTCCATCCTGGTAAAAACTGGCAAAAATTACTTAAAGGAATACATCTTTTTTCTTTTTTCTTTTTTCTTTTTTCTTTTTTCTTTTTTCTTTTTTCTTTTTTCTTTTTTCTTTGAGAAAGTTCCTGAATATCCCTTCCTCCAACCTTTTAGAAATTAATTCATCTTAGGTACCAGATGTCCTCATATAAGAGCACCAGTTCTAATGTCTTAAAAAAGCATTATGACACATTTCCAGTATTGACATTTTTGTTTCCTCAGTAGCACTCACAAGGGGAATTTAAGTAATTATATTAATTCTCATAAACTACATCCTAAACTATAGTCCACATATAAGGCTTTTTGATTTTTCTTCCTGCTTAAGCTGATAACAATGTCTATTTAATATGTCTACTGTTAAACCACATTTTTCTCCTGCATGTTTAGTAGCTAAGGTTTGCTAGATAAAGCAGCCTAAGAAGGGTAACATGAAACAGAAATTGCCAAGAAGCCATAATAAAAAGTGTAATACTGAAACTGTTTCATCCTGTATAGATTTACTATATGGACAGCTGATTTTGTTTTACCTAAAAGTTTGAATATGATAGAGACAATAGTTCAATTTTTAAAATTTATAGAATTCATCGGCCATAAAAAAAAGAAACATGAGATACTTGCCACAAAATATGGAAACTTGCAGTACGTCTATTTCTAAGCTCTGATTGTTTAATTAGTTAAAATAGAAAAGATCCATTCCATCATGGAATGATGATGAAATTTGCTTTTATAAGTGAATAGTTTTGCACTGGGAGAATTAATAAGACAGAATCTACAAAGACAGTATGGGACAAAGACTTTTTAAATAGTTTGACTCTTTCCAAAACCTGAAAATTACATCTTTCTCTACCTACATTTGGAAGCATAACACCTTCCTTACCAAATCTTGTACTCTTATAAGCGTAGCCACTAGATCACACATATTCTACAACATATTAAAACAGTTCAATCTTTTACCAAGTGAATCTAAGTTTTAAATCATGTGTTAAACATTGCCACATTGCCTTAGTATTAGGATAAACTCATTAGGCATTGTGCCTTTAGTTTGTCTAATCCTCAAAAGAACATTTGAAGAAAATGGGGACTTTTCAGAATGAAATATTTTGGAGTAATTCCAAGGAAATCCAATTAAAAATTATTAATACAAACTTTTTTTTTATATTCATATATTGTTGAAAAAAAACCCACAAAAGTTTTTTCCAAAGCTCTTGGGTTGAGAAAAAGATAGTTTAATAGAAGCCACATGCTCAAGCAAAGCAAAGCAAAGCAAGGAACTCATTCACTCCTTTCCATAGGCAAGCTCCTTTCCATTCAACCATCTGAAGGAAAATAAAGCTCCATCATGCATGATTATTGCTTGGGAAAACAAATGCCATCACTCCAAATGTCCTCCCCTTCTTTCCTCCCCAGCTGTTTCTGCTGAGCAGGATGCCGTATGATCTGGAATTTCCCTGTGGAATTATCCCTCTGGAATTATCCCTGCACTGGTGGGGTGGGGTGAAAGGCAGGAAGGCCTCGATTGAGTTAATCCTGCTCAGCAGGAACTAAACCATTCCTGAATTATCAACACTTTCCAGAAGGAATCCAAAACATTGTCCTATACTACCTACTACAGAGGAAACAAAACCTACCCCAGCCAAAACCAGCACATCCTGGAAGAAGCATGACTGTTTTTTCCTCCTTACCTTAAAACCGGTTTTACATATCCTGCCTATTCTAGTTCCTTGTTCTTGTTCCTGTCCCATTTGCACTCTTTATCCTATCTTGGTTTTACTCTTCAGGCAGAGAAATAAACAAAACACCCCGTTGTTCGGTGAGGGTTTTGGGGAGATTTGGTTGTATTTATATATACCTTTTGAGGGTATTTGGTGATCTATGCAGTAAATAAATAAATAAATAAATATACACATATATATATATGGCCTGCAGCCAATTTCAGCACTGAAAGTTTCACAAACTGGAAATAAATTATGTTAGTCTTACGAAAATAATGGGAAAATTTAACAAAATTCTAAACTTATCCTACTATCCCTATTCTCCTGAGGTTCCTCTTTATGCAACATTTTTCTGATGTTTTCTAAAGATAGATGAGAAGTAATAGGCTATATAAACATTGGAATATCACTTCACCATATTGAAATCAACATGAGTACATACCAGCCAAAAAACTCTGGTATCACTTCACAAACACTGCAGATAGAAATAATGCAACAAAGCATTAACATTCCAAATAAAAAAATATACAGTGATATTTAGCATTACACATTCCAAGTAAACATGATTCCTAGATAATAGTTTTCAAAGTTATTAATTTCCATCTCTTTTTTTTCCAATTTAGAATTATGGGCCACATAATTATTTTGTAGCTGCTGGCTGAGTTGCAAAAATCCTTAAGTTTGCCCTTTCCCTTCGTTTTCACGAATTTAGTGGCAAGAGATTACACATGAGGTTCTCAAATGAAAGATTGCAGCAGTTCTACTAGTGGTTTTAGAATAATTATCAAGTAATGCTTCTGGAAAACACTGTGGTGTCAGGCATGCTATAATTGTAATACATAAATAACCTAACCATGTTAAAAATACTTGCAAGTATATAGCTGTGTATGTTACTCTTTTACAGAACTTTGCAAATACAGGTGAAGAAGAAAGAGGTGCATTTTTGCATTCTGATAGCATGTAAAACACAGGGGGTAATAATTTTTTTTACCCACAAAATATTTATTTGTATTTATTTGGGCTAGAAAGTGCACGGTGCCCTACTTGCTTTCTTTATGAAGAAGATTGTAATTGACTTTTCTTATTTTCATTTTTGTATCCATAAAAGAAATCCACAGAAATAGTTTCCTTTTAAAAGTAAAAGGTGAATTTTTAATTGGCATTTTTCTTCCTTCAAGGAATTTATCTTTGTCAATCTTGCATCCACTGTGATTAAATTTCAGGGGATTTTGTCTTTGTGGGATTTTTTTTAAAAGATCTGATTGAAAAATCTCTGACTAAGTATTTTGGTAGGACAATACCGATTTTAATCATAGTGTGTTTTGTGGCAATACATTGTTTTTAGTTAATTTTACTCATAAAAGTTACCTTAGCTCAAGAATGGAGTAAGTCTATTTGTTGAAATTATGTCTCAGAGGCTTTCTAGTTCTACCCAAGTGTGTACATAGAAGGGTCAGTGGTGGAGGACTTCGCACATTCACCCAGTCCGTGGCTTGTCAAGCCTCACAGGAGAATCTTGGTCCGACACATTTGGGCTGTGAACTCTAATCAGGGGAGTTGCTTTATCTCTGTTTTCTAAAAAAAGCTGAGATCCATCTAACAGAGAAACAGAAACACTGAGAATTTGGGGGGAAAAATACATTCTAAGACTTAGTAAAAAAATAGTAAGTCATTAGATTCAGAAGGATCTAATTTCCAATTTTATTTTAAAGTGAGTTTTCAGACAAAAAAGACTTAACCTTTGCATGAGTCAGGCAAGAAAACCACAAAGGATAATACCACTGGGTGGAATATACCAGCATTTCTGACACACTGCTCTGTTTTCCACCATTTAATGGGACTTGGAAGTCAACAAATAAAGCCTGCACTCCAGTTTATAATACAGGGAGCCCTAGAGCCCATCTCAGTTTAGAATTGTCACAGGGAACAATTTTTTTTTCTTTTTTTTAAAAAATGGGATGAACAGCAGGGGGAAGAAAAAGTCATCAGAAAATCATCTGAATAAAAATCGACTTATTTCCAATGCCAACATTCCTCCAGCCATTTTCCCAAACACCTAACTGATTAATAGCTGTCTTTTAAATTCTTGCCAATGTTAATCTCACAGTGCAAAACTCAGCTTTTCAAGCAAATTATATCAATTCCATCTGTGATGAAGCATGTGCTCTTGAGAGCTTTTAAAACATGATGGAAAGTATGACCACATACATAATACTCAAAAATTAAAATGGAGAAAAAAATCCATGACTGTGAAAGGTCAGAAAATAGGTACAGTCATTTGTGATCCCTTTATTCCCAATAAAAGATAAGTCACCTGAAGTCTAATAAAATAGAAATGAGTTAGATATGAATTAAATATGAATCTTTCTGGAATTCTTCAATGTATCTGAAAGTCACTGTGAAATATAAAAACCAGAAAATATCTGTGTGAGTTTTGGGGCCTTACATTCAGCTATCCCAAAAATGCAAGTATTCTGGGAGAAGGAGTAGTATAACTCTGAGAAAAATTATGTATTTAAATGTGAAATTGTTCCTGATTTCTCATCTTGTGCTACAAGATCTCTCATTGAGCTTTTTAGCTAAAATCTTGTTGATATGTGAAACCTGGCTTGTGATCACACTAGAGATTAGTGATGTTATAGCTGACTTAGTGGGAGTGAAATCATGCAGATGTTTTCGAAAGAACATGGAATAGACTCATGGCCCCAGTTTGGAAACCATAAACATTAATCATCTCTTCCTTGTTTTCCTAGCTCCTGTCCGCTACTTTCAATGTGTCTTCCTAAATGGACCTAATGGATTTGGGCTGCAATTTCCTATTAATTCCCCTTCAAACAAGGAAGAAAAGACTCACTCAAAGACTTCCAAGAGAAAGACAAGGAAACCGGGGCAGTAGAGAGACTGAGTCCTGTGATCACTGACATTTTGCACTTTATCTTTTCTGCTGAGGTCCACAGTAGCTACAGTGGTACTTGTCATTGCAGGAACGCGATCCACTTGCACGCATGTACCTGGAACTGTTTCCATGGGGCAGCGGCAGAACAAGCAGTAATGAACGGTGTTTAACAAAGATAGAAATGTAAAAGTGCCCAGTTTCTCATGGAAAGGCTGCAATGCTAACAAAGCATTGATGTGACTGTGTGTGTGAGCATGTGTGTGTGTTTTCATGCCTCTTTTGCTCTTGTTTTTCTTTACCTACATGCTCAGCATTGAAGTGAGTCTGTTTTCCATTTAATCTTATCTAAGGAGTGAAAGGTTGAACGTAGCTCTTATATCAGCAAGATTGCAAGACTAGCTGCAATCCTAAACCATTTCTTCTTAATGTTCAATCAAATTGCTGACAGGAAAATGCCTCACTAAGTCATGAAAATGTGCTCTGTGACTGGTGCTATTTTTATGTCTCATTGACCAGTGTAGCCTGAAGCTCACACTTACTCGGAGCAGCTCAATACACTATCAGTAAGTTGACTCCACAAGTCATGTTAATGATGAATATTTCTATTTAATCTGAAACTTAAATGGACTGTTTGACCTGCCTGTTGGCGAAATACAAGCTCTTCTCTTTTAAGGCCCTAAGTGAGAAGAGAAAGTGAAACCACAAGGCAAAGGTTAGGAAAAACACTGTTTTGCCGACATGGAGGTTCGGAGAAACAAATGAAGTAATTATAGTGCTTCTACTTTCCCTCCGTGGCTAAATCAGATTGTTTTGCAGCAAAAGCCATGTAAATGGACAAAATAACAGCCAACAATTTGCTATTAGCTTAAGCCAGATGAAAACCTAGGATGCGAGATGCCATTCATGAAACTAAAGCAACACAAATTTGCAGTAATTATGTGATTTTGATGCTGTCTGAGATCAGTGAACAAAAACAAAACCAAAACCAAAGCCAAACAAACAAAAAAACAGAAAAAAAATGAAACATAAATGCATTAAATAATCCAGGTATCTCATTTTACTAGATTAAATGAAAGAACTTCCTCACAGCACACTTCTGTAAGTGGCTTACAGTAGAACTGAAAGTAGATGTGCTTGTCCTCAACTTTCTTTTGTGCATTTATGAAGAAATAAAGAATTTGTTGCCCTAAAAAGGAGACAAGATGGCATTTGATCTATTTAAAGGCACATGAATGAAAATTGGCATCTCACCAGTCTATGTCTGGCAATGTAAATAATGCCTTTTTGCAAGCTGCTATTTGTTTGCATTTCCTTACTATATTTTTTTTGCATTTAATCTGGGAAATATACAGCAGTGACCTTAGTTATGTAGTTGCCTGCTGAAGCAGCATGACCCTCTTTTTGCAAAGCCACTACTTGTTGAGTCTGAACACACCAAAAGCTGTATATCACTTTTTTATTTTTAGTATAGACCGAGATAGCATTGGCCTCCTCCCTCTTACACTCTCCCTGCCCATCCATCTTACTTTAACCAAATAATTGACTCATGTGAGTTTTGGACAGCTGATTCTTTGACATATTACTGCAATTCAGAAAGCTTTGCTGTTACACTGCTGGGCCCAGTTGGTATTTTCTGATTACTGGTCATGGCCTTGCATTAACTGGATCCTTGGTCTTAATGTGCTCTGATATTGCACAGGTCATGTGCTGCAAAAACTGTCATTGCAACAAGCAGTTTAAACAGTGGTGACCAGAAAGAGGTAGGAGCAGGTCCTGCTCTGGCAGCAGCTATTGCCGCATAGAATCATACCATAGAAATGAGTGTTCATGGTGAATGTCCGCAGAGACCCTGTGAGATCTGGTCTGGAGATAGCACTGCCAACAGAGAATTTTTGATGGTAGAATTATGATCTTCAATTTTCTTTTGTTATCTCTTTATATTTCCAGCAACTTCTTACTTCCCAATTTGTGATTTTGTATATATTATGATGGATGTTATTGCCCTAGGTTTTTACTGTGAAAGCTGTCTTAAAAATGAGATTTTAACTTTCTGAAAAATCATTTAATTCAAGATTTTATCTAATGCAAATAATCAGGACAAAAAAATGTATACTATAAGCCTTTATTTTTGTCATCGTCTTTTGGAACTTTTTTTTCATTATAGTCGTTATAGTTAGCCTTAATCCTTCCTTCCCATCTGAGATGGGAGATAACAAGAATTTGTTCTGGATCTCATTTCCATAATGCTTCAATTAGGAATGTTTCAGTGTTAGATATCTCAAAGCTTTGGAAATATAAACAGTAAATATAATTGCATAAGTGATGTAAAATCAGTAATTTAATTTTGTTTCCTCATCTATGTCACTGCCTAGAAAAACAGAAAAAAAAAGGTCCTCTCTCAGAGGGGCAAGCGTTCTTCTTAAATTCACCTGGAAACTTTAAAAAATTTCCTGGTTTGCATGGTTTTACTCAAATTAGCCTGAAATATTGCACAAACTTATGCTGTTTGTTATACATTTTGGAAAATAAAAAATATAAACCCTGCTTCAGTGGCTGTGATATGGTGTTCTGTGAATTCAAAAGTGTAGGACAAGGGTTTACATATGCAAGTTTTAGAAACCTTCTGATTATAAAGATGCAATTAGGCTGGGAAACTTACTAATCCAGCATTGTATTTACTCCTAATGGGCTTTTAGCAATACTTAGCCATCTTTTTTACACACTTTATTGATTTTGCGCTGACATATAGAAAGCTAAATGGCTGCTGCAGTCATTCAAGGTTGGACTTCATCTACACCAAATAATTAATGCTCATCAAAGTGCTTATTTATGTATAATACAACTGTACAACCAGTACAGACAAAGTTGTGATCTCCAACGACAAGTTTATAGTTCAGACAATTAGGAAAATGGCCACCAAGAAACTGAGAGCGCAAAAAATTGTGAGATCCCCAATTCCCACACCCCACAGGAACTATGGGTTGCCTGTATCAGCAATGGTTAAGGCAGATGATCTGGTGTGGGAAACAGACTACAGCCTGGAGGTGATACAGCTGCAGTTGCTCAGCTCTGCACTGGGGCTCAAGAGTCCTTTGCCCCACAGAGTTTGGTGAGCCATCCCATGCGGGGTGTCACTCAGCAGTTTGTCTGCACAATTTTCTCTGAGGTGCTAAAATCCTGATGAAGTCTACAGGAGTGGTGAATTTCCAGCAAGACCAGTGAGATAAGTTTTGGTCACAGATCACTGCTGCCTGACCCAGAGCCGTTCACTCTTGCTGGTGCAGTCCCCAGACCCCACCACAGCCCTCAGTCCCTGTTCAGTTTCACACCTCTACCTGTGTCACAGCTGGAGTCCAGTTTTGTCCATTTTAAAACCTTACAGCAAAACAGAGCTTTTCTCAGTGGCTCATTTCTATTGCACCAGTGAGAGAGGGGGTGCTCAGAAAATCTGGGTAAGAAGACTTAGGTCTTCTTTAGCAATTGTCTGTGCTGGAGCACAGCCCTGCAGGTGCCCAGGTGCTGGTGGGGGCTGCAGGGTGACCTCTGTGAGGAGCAGCCCTGGAACACAGCCCTGGAACCTTGGAGCCATCTGGAACACAGCCCGTTCCAGATGGCTCCAAGACACCCAGCTCAGGGCACAGCTGAGCCCTGCTGACATGATGGTGATGCCCCAGGGAAAGCATTTGTAAGGAAAGTTTGGAAACGCCACAGAGAAAGAGGGGAGGAACAAAAAGAGTGAGAAGCAGAAGGTGGAGAACCAAGACCAGAAGATGAGGAGGAAGAGGAGCTGCTCCACACCAGGGCAGAGATCCTCTACAGTCTGTGAAACATCCATGCCAGAGCAGGCTGAGAACCTGAGAAGGACAAAACAGTGAAGGGGAACCACCATGGGCCAGCCATTACTGGTGTGAAGGAGTGACTTTAGGCTTGAGAAAGGGAGGAAAGATGTTAATTTAATCTTTGCCTTTCTGTTTCCCACTATCCAAATCATGAAACCATACATTTTCATGAGCTTATTTTCCCTGAATCTTCTTTGTTCACAACAGTAATTAGTAAACAATCTGCCAGTCCTTAGCTTGACCCATGAGCTTCCTCATTCTTGTTCTTCCTATTTTCTCTTCCTGAGGGCAGGAGTGAGCAGCTGGGTGGAGATTTGGCTGTTAACCAAGGCTGACCCACCACAGCTGGTTGTTACACAGATCCTATACATGTTCTACTAAAAATCAACAAAATGCTATTTGTCCCATGCTTGGGGTCACCATTTAGAACACAAGACAGGGTATATGTGAGTTGTACATTGCCACAAAAATTTATCCCACCAATCCCCAACTCTAGAACTTCACAGCTAGATTTTTTTTATGTACAACAACTGACTGCTTATTGTAGTCTTTTTTAGATGCCAAATTCTCCATGATAAAAACTCTAGGACAACATAATAGAAGTTCAGTAAGCACAGTTTTAGAGAGATACCTTTATCTGCTAAGACACAGTGACTCAGGAGAGCAGCTGAAGCACTTTTCCCTTTCCTATCTTAAAAATTTTCTTCCACCTCTCAGTATAGTAAGAAATGAGAGACTTACCCCCTTAGGAAGAACTCTGGTCATTTAAGCTGCTTTGAACTTAAGACAGTCAGCATCTGACTTCCCTCAGTTACATGCCATTGGTAGCACTTCTTTCCAGGGATTGAAGATTTGGAAGCCAATAAAAAATTTGAAAGTATTACATGAATAGTAGTGTCAAAATTGAAGATGTGAGGGGCTGGTAATTGACAAAATAAAAGGAAATTAAAGTTGCTTTATGAGGGTTTCTAGGCAGGAACCACATATAAAAGTAGTATTTGCTAAATATTCATCTTAAAGGATATTTCTGCCACCTTTTAGTTCTCCAGAAAGAAGAAATACAAAGGAAATTGAAAATATGAAACATGTATTATTTATACACCTGAAAGGTGGCTAGGTCTCTAGCTTGTATACTATCCCTTTATCCTGAATGAAGTTCTCCAGAAATTCCCAATTAGCCAAATACATAAGGAGTCATATTATCCACCTACAAGCAAAACAGAGTATCCCAATGCTGAATTCTTAGTCATTTGATTAAACAATGAAATAACATAACAATTTTTGGGCTTTCTCTTGTTTATGGATTTTTGTGTACACATGTCATTTGTGATACATACTCCACACAACCATTTGTTCTGAAGTCCTCACATCTCAAGGACTGGGTTAGTTATTGTTGTAAATACTTCTCATACTGAAGCAGAGTTTTCTTCAGTTTTCACTTTTGTCTTTTATTATGATAGATATTAGTAAAAATTTTAGAATACATTTTATTTTGCCTGGTCCAAAAACCTAGCAATTCATTCAGTAATGCCTCCTTTGGGAAAAGTACTCCAAAAATTGCACTTTCCAGATTCCACTTTTATTACATAGGTCTTTCACCAATACTCACTAGATAAAATCTTTTTACAACTTTGAGCCTTTTTCTTTGGCTGAATTGCTTATTCTCAAAGGGAAAAATATGTTCTTGCTCAAATTGTGGCCCTTGTGTTCCCTTTGGCTTGATTCTTGCTCTGTATTAAGAATAAACTAAGTTGTTCCATTTTTCTTCTCCACCCATTGCAGGAAAAGACCGAGTTCAAACCCGTTTAAGGAACCTGAAGGTGTACAAGTCCATGGGACCTGACAAGATTCTACCATGGGTACTGAA